CGCCGTCTCCACGTACCTGCCTCCAGCCCGATGCTCATCCGGTCCCGCAACGCGCCCCTTTCCCACGTACCTGGCTGCGCTCCGGGGCCTCGCGGCTGCCCAGCTCCGCCATCGCCGCTCGGCTGGCTCCGCCCTGACCTCACGGGCAGCGGCAGCGCCCCCTGCTGCTCAGAGCGGGATCGGCAGGGACCATCCCGCCTTCCGTCCGCGGTCCCGGGCGCCCAGGTAGCTTAGCTGTTGTCTCGCGGAGGACCGGGAGGACGGTTTGCCCGCTGATTGGGCAGGGGACCGCAGAGCCACCCCCCGCTTTGTCCGGCGGGCTGGAGCGGGAAGAAAAACGGCTCGGGAGCGCCGCGCGGGAGGCAGCTTGCCGCGTGGCTGTCCGCGAACGGAAGGGTTGCGCGGGCAAGTCTGCTGCTGCGATGCGGAGGAGGACTGCTGCTGGTGGGCAGGCGTGTCACTGCCTCGCTCCACACACTGCCAAACACTCGGGCTAATAAATCACAATGGCTGCGTTCGCCTATTATGCAGTACCAAGCGAGCCCTGTTATATGTTGTTGGTCCCCACAACGTACTGAGAGAGACACCGGCTGGATCCCTACGATTTGCTGAACGCGCCACCGTTCTGACGCCGTCAGCCTCTTCGGTGTGCGGTGCGGTCTGCCCGCACTGATCACCCGAGCTCTCAGGCGCAAGCTGACGGCGATGAGACGAAGAGACCTGTCGGCTCCCGCAATATCCCTTACTGCAGCTGCAACACTGCTCGCGAGCGACAGTAGCTGCTGCCCTGACTATCACGCATAGGCGTCAAAAATAGGGAAACCAGATCCGGGCTGCAAAAATCCGGACGGCCGTCATTTGGCAGCACGTATCTTCCGGTAGCCCTGTTCAGTCACTCCGTCCCAAATGGAGGCTTCGTTCTTTATGCGGCCAACCCGCCTCGCTGGACGGACAGCATATGGCGTCCAGCTGAGAGAGAAAGGTGGCAGCTGGCGACCCCCGGCATCCCGCCCGGCCGTGGGGTAGAGCAGGCCCCGAGGATCCTTCGCGGCAATGCCGCCCCCTGGCGTGCTTGTATTATTCAGCTTGGACGCGCTACGAGCTGCCTCCGGGTGCTGGGGGCGGTTCAGCGCTCTTATTCCCAGTTTGGGAGGTTCCGAGCGGTTGCGGTGAGAATGAGCCGCGCCGGGCTGGGGCACTTTTAAAGTGGCTGCCAGAGCTTCGCTTTCCACACTCCCTCTCTGGCCAGCACTTGGTCTTTCCTGGGTCAGACCATCCACGGGGAGGGCCGAGGGATGACCGGCTGCGAGGAAGAGGGAGAGACGCGTTTTCTCGCTTCCTCCTCCTTCCGTTCCGCCCACAGTGGTGCTTCCCTCCCTCTCTCCGCCCGCAAGATGGCGGCTGCGCTTGAGCCCAGTTCCGGCCTTAGTCGGGGGTAGCGGCGACGACAGCGGCGGCAGGCGGAGGTGGAAGCAGCCATGCACTTCTCCATCCCCGAGACTGAGACCCGCGCCGGGGATGGCGGCAACGCTGCGGCCTACGTGGCGAGTGTCAAGCCCCTGGAGGCGGGGCGCAGAGTTCTCCGGATTCCCTCCCCCATTGAGATTAACCCCTAAAATGAGGAGGGGGCATCGAAGTCCGACTACACCCTGGGCCACCCGCTCTGGTGCCTTTTGGGCGTCCCCGGGATTGCTTCTCTGCAGCAATTGTAGGCGCCTTCGGGATCTCTAGGAGGCCCGGAGTGGGCGGAGGGGTGGGAGAGCGCCCGGTTGGAATGGGTGGTTTCGCTTCTCCTCTGCAAACTAACCTCAGTCTGCCTTTCCCGCCGCGCAGAGGCTGGAAGCGAGATGCAGCAGGCGCCAGGTTGGGCCCCGGGAAGTTGCCAGTCTCTCTTTCCACTCCAACTCGAATGTACGTGGTTTAGGACGCCCCAAGGAGGACGCGAAGGCCATAACATGGAGAAAAACGAGGGGGAGGTAGAGGCACTCTCTGGCACTCAGGAGCACTTCTTTCATTAGAGGATCTCTCCTTGAAGGACTTGGTTTTTTTCTGGCAAAAAGGCTTTGGGTGTTCCAGAGGATGCATTATAAGCACTGTTTTTAAGAAGAGACACTTTTGCTGTTGCCAGTCTTTCGGCATGGGAAAGCTGTCTCGCTTGCTTCTGTGAGTTATGGCTTCTATAACCACTCCTGGGTACTAAGTCCAGGAGCAAGCATAGATATGCCTTCACTATAGGTGCACTTCACCTTTCGTTTCTGTTGGCTACAGAAAGGTTGGGTTTGAATAAGGCATAAAGCTATAGAGCTCAATAAATGAGCGCATACAGCTTACCCTACTGATACCCATCTCAGACTTAAGCTTGCAGTTTACCATGTCATCAAACCCTGGTTATAAAAATCAGTTTTTGAATGTTATTGAAAGGCAATACCCATTTCAGGTCTTGATGCTCATTAAGATTTATAGTTTCTGCATCATGCAGACAGATGAAAGTTTCTCTGCCTTGGATTGTGGATGATCTAAAAGGCTGTTTTTGTTTCAGCACTCCCAACCTTTTCTTATTGTAGGCAATCACTCTTTGTAGAAATGAAGTGTTGGTGCCATGTAATTGCCTTTTATGGACCAGAATTCTTGGGGAAGTAGAAGATGTGTTCCTTCCGTGAATCTTCAGGTCACTATGGAATTAGTGCTTTGGGATTCATGCCAGACAGTACTGTTTCCCCGGTTTAGCTCTGGAAGTGGGATAACTTGAGGGCTTTCTCATAAACAGATTCCCTAATGATGCCTTTACCTTCTGTCCCCAACAGGCCTATAGCATCCATGTGAATGGCGTTCTGCACTGCCAGGTGCGATATAGCCAGCTGCTTGGTTTGCACGAACAGGTGAGGCATGGAGGCATGTATGTGGGAAATTGCTAGAATTGCTCATTCGTGGAGGGCTAGTCGAATTCCACTAAAAGCCTTGCGCCTAGAGTGGGGTTGCTTTTTGAATTCAGAATGGGTATATATAGCTCACTACCAAACTTCTGGTAAGTAGCAGAACAGAGAATTCTGCTGTCTGAAGATGAACTCTGCTTTTCTTTCTGCAGCTAAGGAAGGAATATGGAGCTAATGTGGTGCCAGCCTTCCCCCCAAAGAAGATTTTCACCCTCACCCCAGTGGAAGTGGAGCAGCGGCGGGAGCAACTAGAGAAATATATGCAAGCAGGTAAGTCTTGTTGGGCAAATCAAGGAAAAGGAGTATGCATGCATTGGCAGGAAGGTGTTCTTTATGCACAGGGAGTGAGTTTTGTCTGGAGGAGAGGCAAAACGCTGATAGTACCTTCTGTTGGTTTGTTTATTTAAAATACTTATATAGCCGCCCACCTTGTACCAAACTCTGAGTGGCTCACAACCAAAAGATAAAACAACATCTATTTACAATAAAAATATTAAAACCACAAGTATTTTAAAAAAAAGCTGATACTACCTTCTATTATCAATCCATAGTACGGCAGGACCCCTTGCTGGGAGGTAGTGAGATCTTCAATAGCTTTCTGCGTAAAGCCCAGCAGGTAAGGAGGTGGGTGAACGCAGATTGCAGGGTATATGCCAGGTGGAGAAAATCTGATTGGAGTCATGTGTACTTCCAGGAGACCCAGCAGATCCCAACTGAGGAGGTGCAGCTGGATGTGCTGTTATCCAATGGTCAGAAGGTGAAAGTCACAATTCTCACCTCAGACCAAACTGAGGATGTTCTGGAGGTGAGACCTTCCCAGAAATAAAAATATATATGCCTGGTGCATATTGAGGAAGAAATGGAGAGATTATATGCACATAATACTTTCTCTGCCTTTCTTATAGTAAGACTCTAGGTGATAGATTGCTTTTTTCCGAGGACCAGTGGGGTGTGCCAAACAAGTCCCACTGTAGTAGCTATATTTAATGCAGCCTTTCCCTAAATTACTGTTAAGAGGAAAGAGTTCAGCATCTACTGACTCTTCCTTATCTTTCCATTGTTTGTAGGCCGTGGCCTTGAAGCTGGACTTGCCGGAGGACTTGATTGGCTACTTCCATCTCTTCCTTGTGCGGGAAGCCAAGGATGGAGCTTTTTCCTGTGAGTTAACCCCTTGCTGCACTTGCTATAATGGCAGAAAAAAAAACAGCCTGCCTGCCATGAAGGGTGGATGGATGTGCGTGTGTGTAGGGATGAGTTGAGGCATGCTGCATGGTTGACTCTGAACTGTCATCTTTTGTAGTCATCCGGAAACTGCAGGAATTTGAGCTTCCTTATGTATCAGTCACCAGCCTCCGCAACCCTGAATACAAGATCCTGCTACGTAAGAGGTAAGAGATGTGCAAAAAGTGGGAGTCAACATAACCAATCCCAGCTAAATAATAGTTGAGTGAAGACCCATTAATGGCTTGCCTCTGCCATCTCTTTCCTCTTCCTCCACCCCAGCTACTGGGACTCTGCCTTTGATGATGATGTCATGGAGCAGCGGGTAGGACTGAACCTGCTATATGCCCAGGTCAGGCACTAAGGTTGAGTGACAGGGAGGAAGATGGGAGGTGGACAGGCAAGCAACAACACCTCCCTTGTTACCCCCCCGCTTGTTTCCTCATAGACAGTTGCAGATATTGAGCGAGGCTGGATCCTTGCCAACAAGGAACAGCATCGTCAGCTTAAATCTTTACAGGAAAAGGTCTCTAAAAAAGAGGTATGTTTCCATTTTTCTTTGCCTATGCAGTGCAAGCCAGTCCACACCACCTTGTCTTCTTCACAGGTAGCCATAATGAAATATATACAGCCAAAGGTCACAAGTTTCCATATCTCTCCTTTGTTACAGTTCATCCGCTTGGCACAAACCCTCAAGTATTATGGTTATCTCAAATTTGACCCCTGCATTACGGATTTTCCTGAGAAAGGCTGTCATGTCATTGTTGGGGCAGGCAATAGTGAACTGAATTTCCAGGTCAAGCTGCCCAATGATCAGATCAAGGAAGGGAGTTTCAAAGTGACACGAATGCGTTGTTGGCGAGTCACTTCCTCGGTGAGCGAACGTATGAATCAGATCGTGTCTCTGCCTTGTTGAGGATGGCCTGTTCTGCCATGAGGGGGAGTACTTTTTCTCTCTGTGTCTCCCTTCTGTCTGGGAACTTTTTAGAGGCTGGAGAAGGAGCCTTGAGTCTTGCATGCAAACCAAGTTTTCAAGCCTTAATATCCCCCTCCCTGTGCTACACCAATAAGCAACTACTAGGCTGCTCTTTTTTAGGTCCCTGTGCACAATGGGACATCGGGCACAAGTTCTGGCAAGCCAGAGGTGAAGTTGGAACTAGCTTTTGAGTATCTGATGAGCAAGGACCGGCTGCAGTGGGTCACCATCACTAGCCCACAGGTAGGCAAGCACAGATGTTTGGGAAGGGAATTATACTCCTGGATGAGCTCGTCTTGCATTTGGAAAGTTTGAAACTAGTAAATTGCATGGGTACCTGATCCAGTACCCCACTCTATGCAGATTCTTTCACTTATTTAATCAGTTCTCCTTACAAATAATGCACTTCGAATATCACAAATGGAAACAAGCTCAATTTTATTCTTATTTGCTTCCCAATCATAACTCCAGTATCAAATTTGTTTTTTCCTATCCTAAGTTTACAAAATCAAGGCTCCGCCAGTTGGGATAATACTGCAGAGAAGTAAGAACATTTCTCTTTTTTATTTCTTAGGCTATAATGTTGAGCATCTGCTTGCAGTCCATGGTGGATGAGCTGATGGTGAAGAAGTCTGGAGGAAGCATACGTAAGGTGAGACTCAGGCTTCTTATCCCTTTGGTGGAGATTGCCAGGTCAAATTTGTTTCCTGGTCATCTGCAAAAGCAGTATGTCAGGATAAGTGCTTCCAAGCACCTTGATGCCTCTCCCTTCTTTCATAGATGTTCCGCAGACGAACCATTGGAGCCTTACAGCGTTCAGACAGCCAGCAAGCAGTGAAATCTCCTCCTCTTTTGGTAAGCAGATCTTGTCATCTCTGCTTCTTCCATTTCCCTTCAATTGGTCTTTCTCCCTTTGACATACCTGTGTGTCTTGCTAGGATTCTCCTGATGGTGGTAGGGACCCTATTACAAAAGTCTCGGTGAGTAATTATTCCTCTTATCCCTCCCTATGGAAAAATGAATGATCTACCATGGCTCTTGCTAATTTGCACCTCTTCTCTCCCTTATCCAGAGCAAATTGGGCTCTGTCAGCTTACGGGCCATCAGCCATTCCAGCTCTTCAAATGACATTGGTGCAAATGATTTCCATGGCAACTATGCCTTTGAGGGCATCGGCGATGAGGACCTTTAAGTGCCCTGCTTTGCCCAAAATATCTTTGTGGAATGTATGACCTGCTTGCGGGTTGATCTTGGTGTGCCTCAGCCCCAGCTGGCTGTGTGTCCTTTGCCAGAGTCTCTGTTTGCAGAGGCAATTTGCAGAGCTGGCTAGTAGCTTCAGCTTCATACATGCCAAACTAGGGTAGAGTGGACATTTGCACAAAGAGCATACACAATTCTGATGCTCACTGTAGACTTTTAACTATAACCGCTAGGCTTGTAATCTCGTTTATCTACCTGCTGTTTACATTTGAACATTAACAGATGTTTGTGACAATGATTAAATAAATCATGATTCAAAATAAATCCTGTGAGCCCTTCTGTCTACTGCATCCAATTTCCCGCTCCTTTAGACATGAGGATATTTGCTATCTCTGGGCACTAGAGCTGCGTACCGAAGCAAAAATGATAAGTTAACTGTTACAGACACAGTAGAGGCCGCGTTACTGAAACAGTATTATCTCTTTTCCTCTCCTGCTGAAAAGAAGATAGTGAAAAGAGATGATATGCCTGCCGTAAACATGCTCACACAGGCCAGTTCAGCAGTAGCACAACTGCAGTGTGATCAAGTTTGCCAGTTAGTCTCCAGCTGCTCTTGCCAGCCAAAATAAAGCCAGATAAGAAAACAGTTTAATGCATTAATACACCATATAAATTACACAGATTCAAGCAGCAACCACAATTAAAGGACTAGAGAGGGGAGGCACAAAAAGGACAAAAGAGGACAAAGGAGCTCCTCTCTGCAGGCTTCAGCTGTCCCACAGAGCAACAGTTTCAGAGAACGGTCTGGAGAGCAGATGCCCTTTTCTTCCTATGCACAGAAGCGTTGGATAGGGCATGGCCCTGAGGTGCTTTTCGGCAAAGGAAATAACCCTTTCTTAAAAGCAAAGGGGTGCTGCTGCTCCTGCAGGTACATACAGCTCCTTCTCCTGCACATCCCAGTCAATCTTTTACATAGGCTTGACAGCAGGCAACTATAATGAGAGCTCAGAAGCCCGAGGAGTCTTCCAACATCATTAGGTCAGGCTACTGTCTGGGCCAGGCCCTCCTTCCTCTGCCAGGCCCTGCCCGTGCACCTTCTGGTGACGCTTGTAATTGTCCCAGTGGCCAGTAGTGTAGGGGCAGATGCGGCACTGAAAAGGCTTTTCACCTGTGTGCCTCAGCATGTGGCGCTTGAGGTTCATGCTCTGGTTGCATGAATATGGGCAGAGACGGCAGCGGAAAGGCTTGTCTCCCGAATGGATGCGTCCATGGCGCTTGAGGTTGGCAAGATTGCCACAGGCATAAGGGCACAGGGGGCACTTGTAGGGCTTCTCACCAGTGTGCACCCGCTGGTGCCGCTTGAGGTTGTCCAGATGGGCTGAGGCATATGGGCAGAGAGCACAGGCAAAGGGCTTCTCTCCGCTGTGTGTCTTCATATGGCGGGCCAGGTGGTTAGGATAGGTGGTAATAAAAGGGCATAATTGGCAGGAGAAGCCTTTTGGTGAGGCTGGTTCAGCCCCCAGCACTGCCAAGCTGCAACGCCCACACACTGGCTCACCCAAGCCTTCATCAGCTTGTAGCACCAATCCACATGCCCTGCACGTGAACGGGAAGAGCAGCTCGGGAAGAACCGTATTAGAGTCTTCTGCCTGCAGGAATGGGGAGCTAGGCAGCAATGGTGGTGGCTCTGTGGAAGAAAAATAGCAATAAGCAGAAATGTCCTAAACAGATACTGCTGGAACCATATATATTTAACCTGTTTCCTTCACTGCCATACACAGCCCCGTGCCAGTTTGCAGAATCCTTTATCCTTAACTCTTGATGTACTATGAGCCCACTGTAGAATACTGTTGTTATGACTGAAATTAGAGGAGGGGCAACCAAACCTCTAGAGAACAGTCAGTCTGCCTCCTCAGCACACAAATTCCATTTGTGGTTTAGGCTAATAAATTCATTCCAATGTGGGAGACACAAATAGCCTTTCTACCAGGCCGCAGATCCTCAATTCCGCTAGACTCCAAAAGCTGCAGAGAGCTTTTGGCATATCGAGATTTGTGAAGTTTGTCCCTCTGCCCTCCCCATGAGAGTTTATGTATACTCCTTCCCTTTGCAAGGCTATGAATTCTGCCCTGCCATTTGCATCATGTACCTGTCTCCTGATCTGCAATGGGTGGTCCCTCCATTTCTGCCTCCGACTCCCCCTGGATCCCCGCGCTGTGATGCTGGAGGGAATTCCCCTGGACACAGTGGCAGCTGCAGGAGCTACAGCGCACTGGACGTTCCTGGCCATGGACCCGCTGGTGTCTCTTGAGGTTGCCAAGGCTGCTGCAAGCGAAGGGGCAGGTGGGGCAGTGGTAGGGCTTCTCACCAGTGTGGGTTCGCAAATGGCGTGTCAGGTTAACCAGCTGAGCCGAGGCATACGGGCAATGTGGACAGCGGTAAGGTTTCTCGCCATTGTGAGTCTTCATGTGCCGCTTGAGGTGGCTGGAGTAGTGTGAGGCGAAGGGGCACAGTTGGCAGGAAAAGACTACACGCCCCTTAGGGGAGCCTTCCTCATCCCCTACCTCAGAGGGGCAGCAGGGAGTAGAACCAGGACTAGGCAGGCCACAGTGCTGGCAAGCCCGGCCTGGCCCTTCATTCTCTCCATCTTCGTCCTGGGCCTGGCACAGAGACGGGAGATCCTCGTCACTCAGCGTGTAAGCTGGCAGTCCAGGTGTCCCCCCGAGGGAGTCTGCAGCACACAAGGAGGGGACATCAGGTGGGCAGCTGTGGGAATCCTCACTTTGTCCTCTCCCTTGCCTGCTGGTACAATAGGGGGTTACCATGTGTAGGGGAGGCTAAATTCCAGGACCCCTATCCTCATAACTAAAGTTGTTGCCACCATTTACAATCCTTTCTATTGGCTACAGGTCCCTCTCCAGCTCCCCGTGTTACTAGCACCCCACTTTCCCACTCGGAACTATGGCACCCAAAACAGTGCTGGAAGGTAAGAAAACGGGGGAAATACTTGTGCTGGGTTTGCATACTGGACCGGCTGACTGGATTTCAATTCCTGACAACTCAGATGGGAGGATCCAAGAGGCCCTTCCTTTTCCTAGATGCAACTCCCCACCCCTCGCCAAAAAACCCCATCTTACATCCCTTATTCCGATCTGCCTAGCAAGGACCCGAACCCACCTTCTGAGTCCTTTTCGAAGGCCAGAATCGGGGCACTGCTCTCCTCCTCGTCCTCCAGGGACAGGGACAGCTCCTGCTTTAAGAGGAAGCTGGCTTGCGGCGCCGGGCTCTCCTCTCTTGACGGCTCGGCCGGAGCACCTGGAACGTCCACTACAATAGACAGAGGAGGATGCGGCCCCATTAGAATCGGGGTGCCCCGCTAATGCTACGTAAAGACTGCTGGCGCCAGCCCAGACACCCCAACGGCGTCGCCCTGCCTTTCTTTCGAAGGGGAGGGCGAATCAGTTGCCCTAATTCTGGCCGGAGCCACCCCTCAAACGAGGAAGGACTCAAAGCCACGGGACTCCTCCCCTTTCCCGAGCACAGCGGTCCGGTTAGACCAGAGGTCGAGAGCCAATCGCCCAGAACCCCAACAGGCCGGAGCCACGGGGCAGACAGAGAGACCTGCAGCTGAAGCCCCCGCCACCCAGACACGAACAGGGCGGACGGAGATGCGGCAGCGGCCCCAGGGTGAGACCGGCAACCCGGCGCTGACCTTTGACGGGGCGCGGGGGGCGGGGGGGGGGGCGCGCGCGGGGGGAGCGGCGGCTGTCGGGGCGTCGCGAAGGAAGAGGCGGCTGCGCCGGTGGCAATCCAGGCCGAGCGGCCCGGAGGGGGGAAGGTGTCCAGGGCTGGAGCCGCTCCCATCCCCCCGTGCTGCGGGGCAAGATGCCCCGCCGGAAGCAGCCCCACCCGCAGCCCGGCAAAGGGCAGCGCCGGGTTGCCGGTCTCACCCTGGGGACGCTGCCGCATCTCCGTCCGCCCTGTTCGTGTCTGGGTGGCGGGGGCTTCAGCTGCAGGTCTCTCTGTCTGCCCCGTGGCTCCGGCCTGTTGGGGTTCTGGGCGATTGGCTCTCGACCTCTGGTCTAACCGGACCGCTGTGCTCGGGAAAGGGGAGGAGTCCCGTGGCTTTGAGTCCTTCCTCGTTTGAGGGGTGGCTCCGGCCAGAAT